GGAAGGTCGCCGTTGTATTCTTCCTCCTCTTCCCCATTCCCACCCCTAAAATGCCTTCTAAACCGGGGTGGCAGCACTGCAGTGCTCTTACCATTCCCATGGGCAGAGTGGTTAGAGGAGAGCGAGTCCCTGTCCAACTTTCCCCTAATGCCAGTCTAGCACACAGCCAGCTATCTATAGTCAGTGCCTGCACAAATGGGCCTGGGTGAGTTCCAATAAAAATTTATTTAAAAAATAAAATGATAACAACAAGGAGCATGCAATGGGCCAGAGATGACCTGTGGGTCACAGTTTTCTGGGTCCTGCGAGAAATACTCTTGCCCTTGCCTATGTCCTCCTTGAACTTGCTTGACACCAATCTCATTTTTGCTAATATTCTTCAACTCCACTGACCTATCATCTGCTCTGTGAGGCTGCTCAATCCTACCTCCCATGTTTGCACTTCTAGACTCCCCCTGCCTGGACGATTCTTGCTCTAAGTCACGATGTGGTGAGTTCTCCCATCACCACTGGCCTTGGGAAAGGATCTCCTCTCTGCGAGGCCATCCTTGACCCTAGTGTGGCCAGTCTTCCACATCGCCTGGTTCTATGTACTCCAAGGACTTCAGCGACCTTGGGTTGCCGTCTATCGTGGGCCTTCTTTCCCCCTCATTACATGCAAGTGTTCTAAAAAGACAGTCTTAAAGGTGCCTAGTGCACAACCAGGGATAAGACACACGTGGATCAGTGCCAGTGAGGGGCTCTGCAGCCGTGGCTCGTGCTTCCTCTGGAAACGTCAAGGGTCTTTAGTGCACTGTTTCTTACTCGTGGGCTTTGGCATGCCTCGGGCCTCAGGCTGGCACAGATAGCTGCCGGCCCCAGTGGAACAGCAGGAGTCTTGGGCCTGGGTGGCATCAATCAATGTCTTGTGAGTCCACGAAAGGGACCATTCATAATCTGTCAAGTTCAAAGACCATTATTTTCTGTCGATCTTCCTTCCTCCTGTAATGAGTCCCCAAAACAATACCTGAGAGTTTAGCACCACGCAGCTGGAAATGGTCTCCTGTCTGCACACCCAGACAAATATGGGTGACCTTCCTCCATGATGGATGGGTGCCGAGGGCGTTTGGGTGCACTCGGACAGGAAAATGACGCCTGGTCTGTTGGGAGATGAATGCCCCTTGCCACAAACTGCGCGTCTCTTTGCCTTACCCATCCTGGAGGATGTTGTCGGGATAATGAGAATGGCTGCTCTATTAACCATCCCGCCGAACTGCTGCCATGTCATACCTTGAATTTATTCCACGCCACACATTCTAGGCACTCAATGACTCATCGCTTCTCACTGAGCCCCCACAAGGCCTCTACATCTTGATGTTGTTAACTGTTGTTGGTTGGTTCCTACTCATGGCAACTCTATGTCCAACGGAAGGGCCCCCTGCCTCATCCTCTGCCTTCCTCACAATCATGGTTAGGGCCGGGTTCACTCTTGTAGCCACGGTGTCAATCCATGTTGTTGAGGGTCTTCCTCTTTGTCCTTGACCCTCTTGGATGGCTCATACTACGACGTCCCCACCCTTGCTGAAGGCAAGATGGCTAACGCTTCTTGAGCTCCAGTAGCTTGCCAGAGGCTTCATGTTGTCACGGTGAGCAGAGGGTCAACCCAGCTCTAAGCCACCCAGTACGCATCCTCAAGCCCAAACCAAACTCACTTCCATTGAGTCAGTGCCAACTTATGGCGCCCCCTCATGGGTTTCTGAGACGTAACTATTTACAGGAGTAGAAAACCCCATCTTTCTTCCAAGGAGTGGCTGTTGGTTTCCAATGGCCAGAGGTGCAGATCGCAGTCCAACGTGTACGCACTATGCCACCAGGGCTCCACACAGAAGACCTGCTCTCTATCCCCGGCTGGGCCTGGTGACAAATAAGTACAGCACCCCTGGGGCAAAATGATTAAGAAAGTCAAGAAGCTAACAGCAGAATGGTCAGCCTGAGGGGAGGCCTTTCTCGGTGTGAGGCAGGCCCACAGAGTGGTCTGGTCATGGAGGTGCAGGAAGAAAACGAGAGACAGACTGAAGAGGGTCCCCTGCTTCAGCTTAATGCTGGAGAAACAGCTCACGTTGTATCATGATGTGACAACAGCTCCGAGAGTTTGGCCACTGGACGAGCAGGAAGGGCCATGCTTGGCGTTTTGTCAGCAACCAAAATCTGGTTTACCTGACAGACCTGCACATAGCCGTCCTTCCATCAACTAGCCTGCTGTGCATGAGCCAAGGGGAAGAAGGGGGTGGAAGGGGAGGAGGCCCTTCCTCTGACCATAGGGCCCTTGAACTTCTCATGGCTGACACGAAGCCCAGGAACAGATGTATGTGTGTGTGTGCGCACACGCACACCTGAATAAGACTTCTGGATTTGGTCCCAAGTGCTAGTCCCACTGGAATTCCACCAAAGAATTGCCGCAGTCATGCCAAATTGAGCAGTGTTGACCATAGTTCCTATTCTGTTCTTTTGAAAGAAAGGAGCCACTCTACCAGGGCACCTGGACATAGCCGGAAGCATGGGCACCAATCCTGGCTTGACCACCAGCTGTGTGATCTTGGACACGGTCCAGAGCCTACTTCAGGTTCCATTCCCTCAGCTGGAAGATGAGGAGTGGGGTGTCTACCTCTCTGGGTCGTTGTCGGAGCTGAGTTTCTGTATAGAAAGCACTCAGCAGAGAGCAAGTGCTCCGTGAATTTGATGCTGATGTCCACCATGGAGGCTGCTGGGTGGTTGAACCAGCCCAGGAAGTGAATATCGACCATATGGATGGAATCCCGAACACCGTCTCAGCTGACATGTTCCCCTCAGCGGAATGCACGCTGTGCACGGTCTATGATAGGCAGGATTCCACGACTGCAGGTGAGCAGTGCCTGGGGGGAATCGGAGTGATGCTTCCTGCTTATGGCCACTCAGGGCTTACTGTCATGACCTGTAGGTGGTCAGCTCTTGGGAGCCATTGGAAAAAGGACATACTACCTGTCCATCTGGATACTCAGAGGCCATACTGCCTATCTGGCAAGGCACTCAGCAAGCTATGTGATTTTCCCCCCTACATGTGTCTCATACCATCCCCACCTTCTTTTCCACATTTGCTCTGCTCCATTTCAGTTCCCACTCTATCGTCATGCTCGGAGTGTGCTAAAAAGACAATCCCGATGCCGGACCAATCCTGCCCAGCTGCAAGAAACTACTTCACGAGGACCTCCCCATCTTTATGTAGCTTTATAGGATAATGCCAATCATCAATAGAATTCAGAGATGATTCCTGGGTTGCTGGGAGCCCATCCACCCTGACCAGATAGCTTTGTACGTTAAGAAATTCAAGGTGCATAAAGGATTCCATTTTCCTCCAGGAGACGCAGCATGTACATAAAGCAATACAATTTGAAATTCTTCCCCAAACTTTCACGGAGGGTGCAGTGGGAGGAAAATTGGACATCGTCTAATCACATACATATCGCGCATACAAACGGCACGCAAGCTCACAGGCACCTCGGTACAACCACTGTCATTTACATTTAGAACACTTTTCTGGAACGTTCCATATTCTAGTCACTGACAAGCCAGGCCCCGTTACCCCAGATGGAACCTGGGAATCATTTTTCTGCACTGCTCAAACGCCAGCCACTCTCAAAGCTTTCCCCACCGGTTCTCCTAGCTTGCTCCGCACATCGGCTTGTTTCAGAAGGTGACTTTAAACCTCACATCTCAAGTTCCAGCCTTCTCTCACCTGAAGCCATGTTTTCATCAAAAATAGCCAGCTAAGAAATGCCCCATAGCAGGTCCACCTAGGAGTGATCACCTTCACCTGCCCTTGTTCCATCTCCTGGGAGGTTGTATCACCTCCCAGGTCCCTCCAGAGCTTCTCGAACACGCTCTGGGCAAGGGCACCGTTCCGTGGACAGGACACATTCAGATGCAGGATTGAGAGAGCAGCGCCTTCCCTGGGGACCCAGCTCTTTGAAGCTGAAGGGAGGATTTTGGTACCTTGCATACAATTATTCACCTGGTAGTCTGGGGAGGTTACCATGACAACGCTGCCAGGGCTTTCCTGTATCCCATGTCATTGATGTATCCAGCCTGGGAACACAGTCCTCGGCCTCCCCTCCCTGCTGGCCGGCCCAGTGGGCGTTTTCCTTCCTGGTTCTGGTGCTATCTGGACGCCACTTCAGCGGCACTCTCAATACCGCGCTCTCTACCGCCAGTGCATTTAAAGCTTCTAATCGAAGCCCAGCCTAAGAGGGATTTTTCGGCTTCTCCTGGCATTGTGCTTGGGAGTGAGTGCAGCTGCTGTCGGCCAAGGCATGCTTTCACCGGGCAGCGCTGGGCCAGAGAAGAGGGCGACTCTGAAACCTGCCCCGCGGGAAGGCTCAGGCCAGGCAGCAGGAGAGCTATGGGAACCTTGGGTGGTTTCCATAACAGTAGGGACAAGGAGTCCCAGAGGGAGAGGAAGGCCATGTTTTGCCTTTAACTTTTTGAAGACACAAGGATTCCTTATGCATGATTTATTTCCTCTCTCTCTACAGAAAAGGGGAAGGAAGAGACCCTTTTGCCAAAGTGCTTCCATTAAAAAGCAATTACTAAGAGAAACACCCTGGGGGAGAGGGGAGGGCTGTCTTGAGGACCTAATTCTCTCCAGAGCTCTATTTGCAATCCTCAGCCTCAGGCCCTGGCCAGGGTCCACTGGGTGGCCACAAGCAGTCATGCACTGCTGGGGATTTCAATGTCCATTTCTGTTGAACGACCACCTTCAGAGACCACTGGAGATGTTCCCAGAGCGCACTCTGCCCTAGCCATGTTCTGAGCTCCAGCTTTCCAGGGATTGCTTATATTGGGAAGGGGTGCGTGTGTGATATAATATGCTAATGTTGGTACATGTCAACAACTGGGGACAAGACAAGAGTCTTCTGGAATTCCCTGAAGACCATCTCATTAGTCCTTGCAAACCAGCACACCAACGAGGAACCGACTGAACATACCTGTCGGCGAACCCTCCATGACGTGGCCCACGTAGGGGCCTTCCCGAAAGATGGGCCTGTTGTCATTCTGATCGATGACGATGATTTCCAGCGGGACCGGTCCCTCGAGAGTTTTGCCGCTGGCATCAACGGTCTCCACAAATAGCTATTTGAGCAAAGAGATTGGGGGAGAAAGACAGCATTACTGCATTATGAAAATTGAAAGCTGGGCCTGTGGAGAAAGTAGGTTATATCAGCGATTTTATGAGCCCTTGGCAATGCTCACACTTTGGTCTCCACAGCTAGGCAGTGAGGACGAGGCGGAGGAGGGAAACATTTCCAAATGAAAGGTAAAGAACAGCTCGTGTGAGCGGCCCCCTTGGGAAATTTACAATTAATTCATCAAATCTGCAAAGGAAGTGAAAAAAGATAAAAGAAAAAACAAGACATTACACCCCCACTCACAATCAACCGTGCCTGAGAGAACGTGCTTACATGGGTTTCCGGGTCTCTAACATCATTATGCTTAAAAGAAGGTTAGGACAATAAAAATAATTGACCGAGCTGCTATGAACAGAGTACACGAAGAGATAACCCAAATATGCTGACGGTGATATTTAGGAGGAATTCAGGTCAGGAAACATTTACAGAGGACCTTATTCAGTCAAGGAATTTGGGAGTAGCAAGGACTGGGTGGGATCCAGGGAGGGGTCTCCTGTCCAACGGGCACTTACCATCTAGAGCAGTGGTCCTCATGTTGTGGTGACCTCCCAACCATAAAATTATTTTCGTTGCTACTTCATATCTGTAATTTTGCTACTGTTAGGAATTGGGTGACCCCCGTGAAAGGGTCATTCGACCCCTCTCCAAAGGGGTCGCAACCCACAGGTTGAGAACCCCCTGACCTAGAGACACGATTTCACAACCCCATACAAGGCTTCCATGGGAAACTATCTTCATTTCTCCAGGCTGAAAAGCATGCAGTGCCCAGGCCACCAGCTTTACATGCTGTCTTTGTCATGGATTGAACGGGTCACTTTCTCCCCCAAGCATTACCAACCAGGTGTCTCAGTGGTTTGGCAGCTGTAGAATGATGTCATGTGGCAGGTAGGTAAGCACCACTCTGGAATGTGATCTGATAAGTCAATAAGAGGCTGAAGGGTGGGCATCTTTAACCCCATCGTACCCTGAACCTGGGGGTGACCTAAAACACCTTTCATCTTACAAGAGATAAAAGGACATCACGCAAGAGATAAAAGGACATCACAACTGTAAATAATAGAATCCAAATCCAAAGGAGGGAACAGGATCAGGGATTACATTGCAAGCACCTGGTTGGCAGTGGAAGCCCCAAATCCACTGCAGAGTCCCCACATGGATAACACCTCCAGCAAGTCCCCTTTGACTATAGTCCTGGGAGGTGAAGGGCTTTGCCAGTGAGAGCGCATTTTAAGGTCCCTCATAGCCGATGTCACTGGGTGAAAAGGAGCCCTGGGGCTCCTCTGGTGGCTAGGCCTTGGGTTGCTAAGTGCAAGGTCAATCGTTCAAGATCACCAGCTTTTCATAGCAGAAAGATGGGGCTTTTTAACTCCTGTAAAGAGTTCATCTTAGACACTGAAAAGGGAAGTTCTACTTCATTCAATAGGGTGGCCAGAAGTTGTTATCAGCTTGATAGCAATGAGTAAGGTTAAAAGGTAACACCTTTGCATTTAATCTCCCCTTTGACCCATTGGAAAGTTGTTTCCGTTTTTAATATTTTATGTTTTCTGGTCGAACTTTTTCTGGGTTTTTGTGTGTGTGCCATTTTTCTGTATGTATTTTGTAAATGTTTTTCTACATATGAAATCCAGGATGGGTAATTTTATAGAGACGGTAAGTGGATTAATAATAACTTAGTGCGATGTAGGAGAGATTGGGGGGTGGGGGTGGGGAACTAACAGCATTGAGTATGAGAAAATAAATTCTGAAATTGATTGTGGTGATGATTGCACACCTTTTCTTAATAGGATTGGATGACTAAATGTGACGACTACATATGACATGTGATGCATTGCCAATAACACTACTCTTAAAAGAGAGATAAAGTGAGAAAAGGAGTATATATTAGAGGGAGGACCTGCTACCACCAAGAAAGAAGAACCAGGAGTGGAGTGAGTCCCTTTGCACCTGGAGTCCCTGTGCTGAGAAACTCCTAGACCCAGGGGAAGATTGATGCTAAGAAACATGGAGATCTTCAAGGAATGCTGGACCGACAGAAGCTTAAAGGAGACAAGGATCTTACGCATAAACAGTAAGCCTATACACAGGTAAAGCCTTCCCTGAGAGCGGGCACCCTGAATTCAGACGTCTAGCCTCCTAAGTGGTGAGAGAAGAAATCTCTCCTAGGTAAAACCACCCACGTGTGATATTTCCTTTATAGAATCACTTGAGGACTAAGACAATGTTGGCAGCACTGAGTGATGCCGGGGCATTTCCAGTGACTGGCAAAAGACCTCAATTGCTCTCATTTCCGAAGCTCTATTCAGCCTCGACTAAAAGCATCAGCATCAGGGACACCCCTCCTTGACCTCAGTGGTGGCCTCTGCACAGGAAGGGTCAGCGATCCTGGACAGACAAGGCTGCAGGTGCATTTGCAGCTCTGCTTCTCAGTAGGTGACCTTGAGAAAGCCCCTCTTCTTCTCGGTTTCCCCATCTGTGAGCTGGAGTTAAGAAAAATACCCATCCAGCAGAGCTGTTGTGAGGACCAATGATAAAAATCATAGTCAACATCTATCTCACCCTTAGAAGCCCCCTTGGGGCTGTGGCTACGAGTCGGGCTGCTCACTGCAGGTCAGCAGATCAAGACCACCACCCGCTCTGTAGGAGAAAGATGGGGCTCTCTACTCCTGTAAAGAATCACAGTCTCAGAAACTCACAGGGCCGGTTTTACTCTGTCCTGTAGGGTCACCGGGAGTCGGCACTGACTCGATGGCAGTGAGATCTAACACATGGAGTCCCCGGAGGATGCCCATCGATCAAATGCCGGGCTGATGATCCAAAGGTGGGAGATCTGAGTCCGCCCAGAAGTGCCTCAGAATTATGGTCAGTACAAATGCTTTGGAAAAGTCGCACCCATTAAGAACATCAGAGAGCAGTCCTACTGGGGCACCCATCGGCCACTATGATTTGGAATTCACTTGAGGGCGATTTGTTTTTAGAATTGAGCACTTACTTATGATGCCTTAAAGAGAGAGATTAAAAACAAAGGACAGCACTTCCTAATATCTGCACATAGAGGGGTCATTTTTCGCTTCTATGAGGATGCTGCTAAGGAAAAGGAGTAAGAACAAAGTCTGAGGCAATTTCGCACAATAACCAACATTTGGCCCTTTGCCCTCCAAAATAACCAAGGGTTTAACTTTAATGCAACCATCAAAAGCCAATGAGCGAATAATACCTTGGGTCTGAATTCTAAGCTTCCTCTTTCCACAGCACTCCGTCAGTATAGAAAGCTGTAGGTCAAAAACTGCAACGCCAAATCAGTGCCATTACGTGGAGATCACCTCACAGCTGCCTGTAGGGCAGAGTAGAACAATTCTCTGGAGCGTCCGAGGCTGTACGCCTTTCAGGAAACAGCAAGTCTCCTTTCCTTCAGAGCATCTGGTGAGTTAAAAAGTTGAGCTTTTGGCTCGCAGCTCAACGAATGACCCACTACACTACCAGGCCTTCTAAGCTATGAGTAGGACAAAGCAAATAGGGACTTCTCCATTGCCAACATAGAAATCTGTTGAAACTGGAATGGGAAGACTCTAGAATCTAGAGTCTAGATCTTCTGTAACATAAACATACAAAAACAAAACAAAACAAACAAAAATCCCCAAAGGCAACACCATTGAGTCAATGCTAACTCATAGTGGCCTACAGCACATGGCGGAACAGCCCCCATGGGTTTCTGAGGTTGTAGTTTTTTAGGGGCGAGAAGTCCCTGTCTTTCTTTTGAGGAGGGACTGGTGGTTTGAACTGCTGACCATGTTGTTACAACAGCTCAATGCATAACCCGCTACACCACCAGGGCTCGAGGCAAACAGGGGATGTATTTGATTTGGATGAATCCAAAATGTTGAGCTGAAGTTCATAAAGCGAGCTACATGAGAAGATAATTTGATGTTGCTTTGTGCTCCCAAACTACCTCGTGTTGGACTCTGGGTTTGCTTAGCAAACGATAATATCAATAGAAGCCAAGAACTTTAGAATGTTATCTAAAACCAGAAACCTGTTCTTAAGTGACATTTACTCATTTAAAAATGAATTTTAGTGTAGTGGGTAATGAGTTGGGCTGCTAACTGCAAGGTCAACAGTTTGAAACCACCAGCTGCTCCACAGAAGAAAGATGAGGCTGTGCACTCTGATAAAGATTGAGAGTCTCAGAGACCTATAAAGTAATTCTACATAGGTTGGCTATGAGGCATAATCAACTTGATGGCAATGAGTCTGAGTTGAAAGTTAATCTAATGAAAATTCTTTGAGGATCTATTATACATCATACGTTATGCTGATTACTGAGTATTTAAAACAAAACTGAAAAATCCACCCTCTTGCCATTGACTTGATTCCAAATCAGAGGAATCTTTAAGATGCCTCTATGATTCTTCCAAATCAGCAATCTTTATGATCCATGGAGGCATTAGTTTAGAAATCCAATGACTGACTGCATTGGGCAAATCTGCCACAAAAGATCTTTGAAGCGTTCACAAGCAAAGATGTCACTTTGAAGCCTAAGGTATGTCTGACCCAACCCATAATCTTTCCTGTCATCTCATATACGTGTGAAAGTTGGACAACAAATAAGGAAGATGAAAGAAGAATGGTGTTGGTAAAGAATATTGGATATGCCACGGACTGCCAGGGGCACCAACAAATCTCTTTTGGAATATGTACAGCCAGAATGGTCCTAGAATCAATCATGGTGAGACTTCATCTCACATACTTTGAACAGGTTCTCAGGAGGGGCCAGTCCCTGGAAAAGGACACTGTGTGCTTAGGATAGCAGAGGGTCAGTAAAACATTAAGAAGACCCTCAGTGACCGGCATAGACTGACAAAGCAGCACAGCACTGGACTCAAACATAACACGGGAGGCGTTTTAAAGATTGTTATTCACGTTTGAAGTGAGATTCCTCTTAG